TGTAGCTCAAGAAATATAAACAATTGGAAAATTTTAACTATTTTTCAAGGGAAATGGACCCTATGAATACATATATAAAATTAACTATCAAATTATAATTTGAATCTAACTCAAATTCAATTTAAGTTCGATGGTGACATCAGATTTAAAGCAAACACACAATGTTGTTAATGGACTTGAATCAAAGTGGTTCCGTCATAGGAAGGAACATGTGCAGATTACTATACTCATAGATACGATACAATGATTTAGTAATATAATTTGACGTGATCAACATATACATAGAATTGTTTATAATTAGACACGATTAAAGAAGAAATATTCGTAATGAAATTTGTCAATTGTGCAGTCTTTTGTTATTTGATTTAATATTAGAAACTTGTCAATATAAATTTTCACAAGATTGACAAATTTAATTCAACTATATGGGAATTAATTAAAGCGTGGCTCAATATGAGGGGGGTTCAAACTCGTTGATTTTTTTAGGGCTCATTTGGTGTGACTTTTGAAAAGTAAAAAAAGGCTTTTTAGATTCAAAAGCTGCTTTTAGATGTGTTTGGTTAATTTTATAAAAGTGCTTATGATAGTTAGAAGAACTTTTAGAGGAAGTTAATCCATTAGACTTCTTCTAAAAGCATTTCTGAAATATGAAGCTTATTCCAAATAAAAATTAAGGTACCTCTTCTACTTTAAGTAAAAGTAAAAACAAAAGTGATGCCAAACAGTCCTTAGTATGATTCAATTCACAAGATTGAGCAAAAAAAAAAAAAAAAAATTAAGTACTCAGAAGGAACAGAGAGAATGTGTTGAATTAATTTCAGAGAAATGCAATTGCAGATTGACTTTTTATTTTAATTTATTTTCCATTCTTATATTGGCTGATTCTGTAGTCTTCTTTCGTCCAATCTACGTAGGTATTATTCTATTATTTTGTTCAAAACTCCATGGCTGCGGCCATTAATTTAGTTGATTATTAAAAAAAAAAAAAAAAAGTCAAACATGTTAGATTTGATTTTTAATTTTTTTATCTTCATTTATATTAGTAGGATTGAAACGCAAATGAAATCACTCGATGGAAAGTTGAACTATATACGACCATTTCCAGGCATATTGTGTTCTTTTGCAGGTATATTTCATTGAAAAAGGCTGAATGTACAGCTTTTTTACATTGTAAGTTTGGCAGCCCTCACACATGAGTGTGGGGCTCGCATTGTGGGTTCCATCCTCCATGTAAGAGGGCTGTCAAAATGTATGTGTAA